CTGCTTTTTGAACCGGCAATCAAAAGGGCATATATCCTAAGAATCTCAAAACATCAATCAGAAAACATATATGCACCCCAATGTTCATAGCAGCATTATTTACAATAGCCATGATCTGGAAACATGGAAAAAGACTTAACTGTAAGATGTGAAACCATAAAAGTTCTAGAAGAAACCATAGGCACCAAAATCTCAGACATCTCTCGTAGCAATATGTTTACCAGTACATCTCCCAGGACAGTGGAAACGAGGGACAAAATAAACAAATGGGACTACATTAAAACACAAAGCTCCTGCACTGCAAAAGAAACCATCAACAAAATAACAAGAGAGCTCACTACGTTGGAGAACATATTTGCCAATGAAACATCTGAAAAGAGGTTAATCTCCAAAATATATAGGGAACTCATACAACTTAAGGTAGACAAACAATCCAATTAAAAAATTGGGGCAAAAGATACCTCCAGCCGAAACCAGTTTGGCTCAATGGATAGAGCGTCGGCCTGCGGACTGAAAGGTCCCAGGTTCGATTCAGGTCAAGGGTATGTACCTTGGTTGCGGGCACATCCCCAGTAGGGGGTGTGCAAGAAGCAGCTGATTGATGATTCTCTCTTATCGATGTTTTTAACTCTCTATCCCTCTCTTCCTCTCTGTAAAAAATCAATAAAATATATATTTTTTAAAAAGATACCTCCAAAGTGAACCTACAGAAAGCCAAGAGACATATGAAAAAAATGCTCAAAGTCATTAATCATTCGAGAGATGCAAATCAAAATGACAGTGAGATATTACCTCACACCTGCCAGAATGGCTATCATCAGCAAATCAATAAACAAGTGTTGGTGAGGATGTGGAGAAAAAGGAACCCTATTATACTGCTGCTGGTGGGAATGTAAACTGGTGCAGTCACTGTGGAAAACAGTATGGGGTTTTCGAAAAAAAAAAAAAAAATGAAAGTGCCATTAGACCCAGTGATCCCACTTGTAGGAATATATCCTAAGAGACCCAAAACATTGATCAGAAAGAATATATGCACTCCTGTGTGAGATTCTCCTCTCATTAAGGCTCATATATCTTTAACTGCAAGGATGAACTAGACATTTCCTAAGATTGGATTTTCAGAATTCTCAAATTATAAACAACATTGAGACATAATCTTTTCCCATAGAACTTCTTTTTCTTGTTTAATAAAAAGTACTGCAGCCCTGGCTGATATTGCTAAGTGTTTAGAGCATCAGCCTACACACTGGAAGGTTGTGGGTTCAATTCCCAGTTGAGGGTACATATGTACCTGGGTTGCAGGTTCCATCCCTGTCCTGGGTCAGGGCACATGAGGGAGGCAACCAATCAATGTCTTTCTCACATCGATGCCTCTTTCCTCTGTCCCATTCCCCCACTCCTTCCCACTCTCTCTAAAATCAGTGGGAAAAATATCCTTACTCCTCAAGTGAAAAAACATGTGAGAAAAATAAAATAACATGAAAAAGTACTATGTAAGAGCCTAATCTTAGACAGTCTGCCCATCTAATTCACTTCTTAGGCAATGAGCCTAGGCAATTCTTTGATGAGGTTGAATTAATTCCCATAGAAAGCAGATATATTCATCCAACATCTCTACTTGGATATCTTCAGGATTCCTCAGTACTAATGAAGTCTAGATTTCCTTAGCTCCATGGTCTGCAAACTGCAGCTCACGAGCCACATGCGGCTCTTTGGCCCCTTGAGTGTGGCTCTTCCACAAAATACCACGGCCTGAGCGAGTCTATTTTGAAGAAGTGGCGATAGAAGAAGTTTAAAAATTTTGGCTCTCAAAAGCCATTTCAATCGTCGTATTGTTGATATTTGGTTCTGTTGACTAATGAGTTTGCCGACCACTGCCTTAGCTCAACAATCAAAATGTACACATGTCTACAAAAACCAAGTTAAATAAGTGACATGATTGGTAGAAGAGACTAGAAAAAAATGGCAGGAATTGTGGCAATCAGGAAATCTTAAATTCGATTTAAAGGGGTGACAGTTGCTTTTCCCACCAATTATTGCTAAGCAGGAATGTGGGCCCTATGTTTTCTAATCTTTGGATTTTTTTCATGAAAAATCATAGTTAATTTAAGCATGTGTTCACTTATGAAATTCAAAAGCTTTTTAGAAGATGTATAAGCCAAATTAAACTTGTGTGGGGATGAAATTTGTCATCTCTGTAATAATAACCAACCCTAAACCAATATACTTAATCTTTTTTGCTCCCACTATCTTCATGTAATCCCATGTTCTAATGTGGTTGAATTGTTCCTTGTCTCCTAATCTATGCTTACTCCACATGCTTTTGCTCTTCTTTCATTCTAGACTATTCCTCCCTCAGAGCTACATGCTACATATAAAATTTTACTTCTCCCTACACATAAGACCTAAAACTATAAAACTTCAAAGAAAACATAGGAGAAAAGCTTTATGACATTGGATTTGCCAGTGATTTTTTTAGATGACACCAACTGCACAGGCAATAAAAGTAAAAATAGATAAATTGGACTACATAAAAATCTAAAACTGTGCATCAAAGAACATAGACAACAGAATGAAAAGGCAACCTATAGAATGGAAGAAAATATTTGCACATCACATATCTGATTACAGGTCAATATTCAGAATATATAAAAAACTATACCTCAACAACAACAATAAAAAGCTATTAAAAAGTGGGCAAAAGACATGAATAGACATTTTTCCACAGGAGATATACAAATAGCCAACAATCATGTGAAAAGATACTCAACATCACTTATCATTAGGTACATGCAAATCCAACCACACTGAGGTATCACCTCACACCCATCAACGTGGCTACTATAAAAAACAAAACACACTCCTAATTCCTGTGCTGGGGATTTACAATACCATAAGATATATTAGATCTTGAATATTAAAGCTTCTGATTAAAGCAATCATAATCCTTTCTTTAATTGCTCTTTTTAAAGTTCTCTTTCCAATAATACTATAAACTACAAACCAATAAGAGTTTGATTTTTTTGGTCCCTCTTCCTAGGCTTAATCAATGAAATTGTTCTTAATCACCATTCAAACAAGGTGTTGGGTAAAATTTTTACCTGAACAATTTTTTAAAATATATTTTTATTGATTTTTTACAGAGAGGAAGGGAGAGAGATAGAGAGCTAGAAATGTCGATGAAAGAGAAACATCGACCAGCTGCCTCTTGGACACCCCCTACTGGGGATGTGCCCGCAACCCAATGTACATGCCCTTGACCAGAATCCAACCTGGGACCTTTCAGTCCGCAGACCGACGCTCTACCAGGAGCCAAACCGGCTTTGGCACCTGAACAATTTTCAATTCACTAATGTTTAATGTGAAAATATATTAATACAGTAATTTTTTTTAATTCGCCTTCTCAAATCCCAATGGTGTCGACATTCTGATTTTGTAATTTATACCCACACATACCTCAAGGGTGCTGAGTGAACCACGTTGAAAATACAATTGCTCTAAAGCTAGAAGGAGTTTGTGGGTCATTCTCACCCTGAGCTTCTGCCTGAGAAGTGAATGAGGTCACAGTTGTATGATGGAACAAACCCTTTATGGGATTCTTGGACTGAAGCCCAGAAGTGGTAAGTAGCATGGTCTAAAAATAGGTAAATATATGATTTTGTGGGAATCTACACAGTCCTTTTTTTTTTTTTTTTAAGTATAATCTCTATGAGATGTTTGAAAATAGTTTTTTAAAGGAATGATAATTTTGAGCCATGAGGATGACTTCACAGCACCTTCCAAGTGCCTAAATTGTGATCCTCTCCGGAGTGCCAGTTCTGTGTTAGGTTTCCAGATTTTCAGCACGTGTCCTTGAGATGTTTAGAAACAACGGTTTTCTAGGTTATGAGATGAAGACCTGGGAAATTGATTGAACTCTAACCAGGGACTACTTCTTCATGGTTTAATAGTATATAAGCATCTAATATTCCTAAGTCAGCAACCCAGATTTTCTTCTCAATGAACCACCTAATACACTCTACATTTTGAAAAGATCATTGAAGAGATAAAACCAACAATAAAAGTAGGAAGCCCTACCATCCCAGCTTCTGATTCATAGGCCCTAACTCTTAACTATCCAGAGTGGAAAAGAGGGACTATGGAGGCCACAGTGGTTGAGTCCACTCAGGAGGATGTAAGATAGCAAAACAGCATTGTGTCCCATGCCTATTTCTACTTTTAAGAAAGACGTATGGTTTCATAATAAATCACATGGGTTTCAGAGGGATCTCCAAGAAGAAAACCCAGGAGAAATCTACTTACTACTAAACAGGTCTCCAAAATATAAACAGGTAAGTATTTTGGAAGAGCTATAACATTTTTTTCTTTACTATTTTTCCTTTTTTTAATGAAGATATTGCATGTGTACATATCTTCCCATTGCCTTCCCTACCCCACTCCCATACATGCCCTCAACCCCCCAGTGTCTTTCGTCCATTGGTTATGCTTATATGCATGTATACAAGTCCTTTGGTTGATCTTTTATCTTCCCCACCTCTCTCTAACCTTCCTGCTGTAATTTAACAGTCTGTTTGATGCTTTACTGCCTCTGTATCTTTTTGTTTATCAGTTTATAATGTTCTTTATTATCCACAAAGGAGTGAGATCATGTGTTTTTTTTCCTCTTTCATTGACTGGCTTATTTCACTTAGCATAATCCTCTCTAGGGCTATAATATTTTATTCTCTGTCAATTATAACATGAAATGTCCCACTGATTGCAAAAATAAATTTCGTCCTTAAATAATTTTTTCTACATATTCCAAGGGGACCTTCCACATGGCTTTCCAACTTTGCACAAACCTCTAAGTTTAATTTATACATCTTATCATTTCTTAAGGCCCTGGACTTCAAATTTCAGGTCTGGAGCTGAGAACATTGCAAAAGAAAGTTGTACTATAGATAATTTAATCTGTGAGCCTTAATTGTACCTTCTGAATTCCAGACAGAGTTACTGGCCACATGGCAGTTTCTGACATTAAGCCAAAATTTAAGCTGGATCCTCTAACAAAAGTACCCAGTTCCCCTGGCAAGAGGTAAGTAATGAACATATTAAGGTGATAAATACAATAAGGAGTTATTAAGGTAATGAATATATTAAATACCCATAAAGGCTGTGATGAAACAAGTTGGAATGCTCTTCAAATATCTATTCCGTGAGCCCTAGTCAGTTTGGCTGAGTGGATAGAAAATTGGCCTGCAGACTGAAGTGTTCCAGGTTTAATTCTGATCAAGGCACATACCTTGGTTGCAGGCTTGATATCTCTCACATCAATGTTTCTCTCTGTGTGTCTTCCTCCCTCTCACTTTCTCTAGAAATCAATGGAAAAAACATCTTCAGGTAAGGATTAACAACAACAATAAATCTATTCTGGGATAAATTGAGTTATGAAACAAATGTGAACTGAAGATAAAGATTTTTATGAAAAGTATACATATCCAGTCAAAACTGGTTTGGCTCAGTGGATAGAGCATCTGCCTGCAAACTGAAGGGTCCCAGGTTCAATTCTGGTCAAGGGCATGTACCTTGGTTGCAGGCACATCCCCAGTGGGGTGTGTACAGGAGGCAGCTGATCGATGATTCTCTCTCATCGATGTTTCTAACTCTCTATCCCTCTCCCTTCCTCTCAATTTACAAATATATTATAAAAAATCAATACAATAGCCGAGACCGGTTTGGTTCAGTGGATAGAGCGTCGGCCTGCAGACTGAAAGGTCCCAGGTTCGATTCCGGTCAAGGGCATGTACCTTGGTTGCGGGCACATCCCCAGTAGGGGGTGTGCAAGAGGCAGCTGATGGCTGATTCTCTCTCATCGATGTTTCTGACTCTCTATTCCTCTCTCTCTCTGTAAAAAATCAATAAAATATATATATTTTTAAAAATCAATACAATATATTTTTTAAAAAAGAAAAGTATACATATCCGTTTTGATTGGAGAGACAAAGAGTCCTCCTTCCTGTTCCTCCCAAATGAGAGGCTATTTTGGTGTGAGGGGACAGAATACCCTAGAGGGCTATACATTAAGATGTTTTGAGTGCCAGTTTTAAAAAAGAATACATTTAGGGGATCATAAAGAAGACCTAAGCAAGTAAGAGTGTAAAGAAAAGGTCTGTAACTCAAATATGGCCAATAAAATGAAATCTAGTTTATGGTGGCAGTGTGGGGGCTCTGGGGGCAGCAGGCCTGTGGGAAGAACAATGCTATGGGCTGTCTCGAGCAAGTGGCTGGGCAGGACAACATTAAAAAAAAAAGAAAATGAAATCTGGTAAGTTAGCAATGACCCAAGCTTGTACTAAAATTAGGAAGTAAGGTTTGCATGTGAGATTAACAATAGCTTTTTTTCTTAGTCTGATGGATAAAAAATTCCAATAAACAGTAGCTATCAACAGCTGAAAGTGATCTATTCCTTATCAAATCATAAGAAAAGCCTCTCTCCTCTCTCACAATTAGCCATTTTCTTTGCCACTTTGAGAGTATTTCTCCTATTATCCTTTTCCCCCATTTATTTTCAGAGAGTGGAAGGGAGGGGGAAAGACAGAGAGAGAAACATTGATGTGAGAAACACATCGATTGGTTGCTTCCTGCACCCACCCTGATCAGGACTGGGTATTGAGCCTGCAACCAAGGTATATGCCCTTGACTGGAATCAAACCTGGTATGACTCTAGATATATTGTGATGTTTAGAATCATTCCAGTCACCAAAAACTGATGAATGAAACAGATATTTTCTGGTTTCAAATATGTATTCAATCTTTTCATATCTTTTCTCAGGGATAAAGATTTACCAGGATCTCTCCCATGCCAATTAGGGTACAAAGAAAGGAAGTTGAGTACTTCACAAATTCAAGGTAAAGAGACTCATTCCTCCAAATGAAGACATAAACAAAAGCTTCATAATATATCTGACTTATTTATTTTTTTTTTGTCTGAGAGATTAGTGATTTCAAGGGTTGTCTACTGTACTCTGTTATTTGAGAGAGACAAAATTTAATTCAATATCTAATTTGTGGGAAAGAAGGGGGATTACTTTCAAGTAAACATCTTCCGCCCCAGCCAGGTGGCTCACTTGGTTGCAGCATCAACCTATGAACCAGTCAGATTCCCAGTTCGATTCCCAATCAGAACACATGCCTGGGTTGTGGGCTAGATCCCCAGTAAGGGAGCGTGCAGGAGGCAGCCGATTAATAATTCTCTCTCATCATTGTTGCTTCTATCTCTTTCTCTCACTCCCTTCTCTGAAGTCAATAAAAAAATTTTCAAATTAAAACCAATATGATGTAAAAGTTAAAATAAAATTTAAAGCATAATCATGCCTACATGCACATTACCTCTCTGACCTCTCCTACTCGTCCTCTCCTCTTACTTACTCTGCTCCATCTACACTCACGTCCATGCTGCTCCTGGAACATGCCAGGCCCATCCACCTTAGGGCCTTTGCTCTAGCTCTTTCTTCTCTCAGATATCCACTCCCTCTCACTTATTTAATACAAGCAACCTATCCCTCAATCCCTGGTACTCCCAATCCCCTGACCTTGCATTACTTTTCCATTTTTCTATAGCACTTACCATCTTTTAACATAACTAATTTACATATTTATGAAAGAGCAGAGATCTTTTTCTGTTGAGTGCACAAAAGTTTCCTCAGCACCTAGAGCAGCAGCTGGTACATAGAAGGCATACAATAAATAATTGTTGATGAAGCTGCACTAATGCCTGAATGCCTACTAACATGCTCAAAATACAAGGAAAAATAGAAACAAGTCAGAGGTGGTTCCAGTCCTAGAGAGGCCTTCCTCTCATCAAGGGAGAAAGATGTAAACTTTAGACACAATTATAAGGCAGGTACCATTATCTCTATAGAATTAATCACTCTTATACATGAAGATTTGACACTTGAATGTGATATGAAATGTTTTATTTTGGTGCCATTTGGGATATATTTTGTTCTGGGCTTATTTCTTCATTTGCTAATTTTAGAAACTACATTCTAATTTTGGCTCCAGTTAATTCATGCATTGAGTATTTCTTTGAAAAAACTTTGTGTCTGTACAACACATACAGACCTCAGCTTTCTCTAGGTTTGAAGTCAGGTGGGCTGCCTGGTTCCTCTTCTCCAGGCCTGAACACTGAAATGAAGGTGTTGGCCAGCCTGGCCTCTTCTCTGGAGGCTCTGGAGGAGAATCCGCTTCTGAGCTTATTCAGGTTTTTGGCGGAATTCAGTCCATACAGTTGCAGGGCTGAAGTCCCCATTTCCGTGCTGGCCGTCCATCAACAGCCTTTCTCAGCCCCTTAAATCTGTCTGCATTCCACATCACATTGCCCTCCACACCTTCAAACCAGCAACAACGGGCCAAGCCCTTACTCTGATAATCCAAGATCCTCTATTTTAATTACATCTGCAAAATCCCTTTTGTCATGTAATGTAATATGTTCACAGACTCCAGTAATTAGGGTGTGGACATCTTTCAAAGGTCATTCCGCCTACATGTTTGGTTTTCCACCAACTAGTTGATGCCAGTTCAAATCTCATGCAAGGACACTGCCCTTCTTAAGGAATGTCTCATTAAGGACTCATATTTCTCTCAATATTTTTTCAGAACAGGAACTCTATTGTTTGTCGTAGTCCCATTAGAATATGTATGTATTATTGAATAACTATCCTAACTTCATTCCACTTGCCCAGCCTTTCAAGATGCCTACAACTTCTTTACCAAGGACAAAACTGGCAGTATTGATTTACATGGAATGATGTGCACTTTAGCTAGGGTGGGAATGCATCTAACCAAGCATGATGTCTATAATGAATTAAAATATGCTGATATTGATCGTGAGTACTTTAACTTACCATTATTTTTTCTCATGAAAGCTTTCCTTAGGTATATATTTTCCTCTCAGGGACTTTCTGAACATGAGAAATGAACTTCACTTATTTGCCAAAAGTACATATGTATGTGTTTCTCTTTAAGGAGATCAGTGAGGTGTGTGTGCAAGTGATGAAATCAATGTAATGCTTCTTTGAAAAACCCCGTGTGGAAAATAAAAGTGGTTGCCATATTTCAATATTGAATTCAGATTACCTGTCATGGTGTACATTTTGGAGGGTGCTTTACAATAACAGTTGCAAAGGCACTGACAGTTTCAAAATGCCATGTTGCCAAGGAAATCCAAGCCCTTTGTTTCTGTATGAATCATAATCCTGACAAATCTTCCTTCCATCATTACAACCCACCTATATTGAATTTCAAATGCCACAGCATGTTTGTTGATATTTTTATAGCATACAGATAATGTTTCTTTGCATATATACTGACCTACTAATTAGTAGCCCAAACTAATATATTTTGTGGGAAATATATTCAGAAAATAGTTTTCTCGCACCTCTCCCTACCCAGCTGCCAGTGACCAATTTGAATCAGTTCCCCACGTGAGTCGATGTCACCAGTTCGTAAAGCCTCACTTGTTTCCACTAACTGCCCAATCTTCCTGTTCTTTCATTGAAACACACATACGACTCTAATAGCATCTAATTTTAGAGGAAACAATGTGCAACTTGGGAATGTTATAACAATAGAAATATTAGAGGTATAGAGTGGAAAGAAGGGGTGGGTTCCTTGCAAAATGGCAAGTCTCTAGGAAAGGAGTGAATAGATAGGACTATCGTGGTTAGGAGCCCCTGGTTTGATGTTTACACCCCACCATTGCTTTGGTGCACTGTGGGTGACTGGTGTAATGCTGAGACCACTTCAAGAAGACCTGAGCTCATCTCCAATCCTAAAATGCTCTGACTTTAACTATTAGATGGCCCGCGATGTTTTAATTTTTATATTTAAAACATAATTTGATAATTAAAATACAACTTATACCCTTGATCTGAGGCTTAGATTTCTGTTGCAGGAGATGGGAAAGTGAATTTCTCAGACTTTATAAAGGTGCTAACAGATAAGGACCGCTTCCTTAGAGCTGTGGGTAAGTAGAGATACTACTGAATATATAGCAGTTGGAGTAGTTGCAATTCACTGCATAGTAAATACTATTCATTTCAGCCCCCAGTCAGGAGACAAACCGAGAATGTGTACTCAGGAGTGTGACTTACTTTTGTACCGCTTCTCCAAAACTGTATTTGCTGAGCAAATGGATACAGTTTTAGATTTAACTTAAGTGTATCCAGTCCTTTTGCAAGAGATACTATTTTTTTTAATCTCTAATGAGAGCCCTCAGGCAGTGGTGTAGAAAAATTTGTTTACCTTTTATAGTATTTTAATTCTTTACTGAGTACATGTCCTACTTTGGGAGGCACTCCTTTTACAAAAGAAAAAAATTAGAGAAAAGAAAAATGCTCTGCCTCATGCAAATGTGGGTGTACATAATTTACTGTTCCCCAAAAAATATCCTCCTCACCCTGAGGAAGCCTCTGCCCTCGGTGCAAGGGCTGTGGAGAGTCTGCTTGAGGTTAGAGAGCATGTTCTCACGTAAGGTTATAAATAATGTGACGGTAAATATTTTTGTTAGCCCTCTCATGGTGTGTTCATGAGTTTAACAGGTGCCTCGGAAAATCTAATCCTATTCATGTCATGTTTTCTAGGATAAATACATTCCAAATTTCAGATATTGCATAATGTTTTGATAATATATCCATTTATAGGCTATGCATTGTCCTTGGAGCAAAGAGAACTTATTGCTTCAAGTTCCACTATAGTAACAAGGATTTGCCTGCAAGCCAGAGATATATTTACCAACCACTCCTTCACCTAGAACAGGACAATTGTCCTTAACTTATAATTCATGTTTATATTAGATGTATTACTATATTTACTAAGAAACCATTGAACTGAAAGTCTTTTTTTCCAATTCCATGATAATTTTGTCTGTTCAGTAATAAAAACGACCTTTTTATAATAGAACTGAAGTTGAAAGTTTTTCTAAAATTCTCATGTCTTTGATTTGGTATTAATTTTGTAAATACAATAAAAAGACTATCATTTTAGTACTTTTTTGATAGATGATTTTTTTTTCAGAAAGCATTCTTAATCTTTTTTTTTTCTTTAATAGTTCCAGAAAAAGACAAGTGTTTAGATTTTGCTGGCAACCCAGGGATCCTGTTGTTTGAAATTCTATCAAAGCTTGTAGAGATGTCAGCCTTACCCAGAAAGACTATAATGGAATTAGTAAGGTAAGTGACAAAGGGGCAAACAGGATCTCCTCAGAAGCACCTATGAGGGTGTTAACAAGGCAGTCTTCTCTCACTAACATTCTACTTCACAGGGTCTGCTGCAGAACAAAGATGTGTGGGCAGATGGTCACATGCCACAACATGAGACTTCATGATTTTATCCCCACAGTACGGACTTCAGACCATCCTAGGTCCTCACTAAGTACCTAAGACAGCTAAGAAAGCTCAGCCTTTCCTACCCTAAGCTAGGGAATCCCAGGAAAATCAGACTTTTCCAAGGATGATTTGGGGTGGGCTTGGAAGTCTAGTTTGAATACAAAACACTCCCATTCATGCTAGAACTTCTAAGGGCTTTCAAGAGGTCCTTTGAGTCTGAGAGAAGGCACAGCAAGTTCAGACTTCCCAAAGTAGCCTTTGGAGTGGAGCAGAGCCAGATAAGGAAGCATTCTCATACCCAAATGAGTCTTTTTCCTGGGAGGGAGAAGAGGGGAAAAGGGAGAGGGAGAGGGAAAGGGAGAGGGAGAGGAGAGGGAGAGGGGGAGAGAGAGGGGGAGGGGGAGGAAGAGGGGGGAAGAGAGAGAGAGAGAGAAATATTGACTTGTTGTTTCACCTATGTATTTGTGCATTCACTGGTTGCTTCTTGTATGTACCCTGACAAGATCCAACCCACAACCTTGGCATATCAGGATGACGCTCTAACCAATTGAGTTACCCAGCCAGGGTAACCTGGTTGGTCTTGGGAAAGAGGAAGGAAGCCAGAGCCCAGGAACTACATGTATAAAATAGTCAAGTGAGTCCTAGTCAGTTTGCCTCAGTGGATAGAACATCAGCTTGCAGAGTGAATGGTCCCAGTTCATTTCCAGTCAAGGGCACATACCTGGGTTGTGGGCTCAGTGGTCCCCACTCGGGGGCATGTAGGAGGCAGCCAATCAGTGATTCTCTCTCATCATTGATGTTTCTATTTCCTCCCTTCCTCTCTGAAATCAATAATAAATATATTTTTAAAAATCTATATATATAAAAAGCCAGCAACCCGATCGCTTAACAACTGAAATGACATCGCTATTGCAGCCAATGAACCGGCCTATCTGGGGGTGGGGTCGGCTGGCCAACCTCCTGTGGCCCCTCCCACCACCTGCTCCGCCCCTGATGAGCCCTCATCACCTCATTGGCCTGAAGCCCCTCCCCCAGCTGGCCACGCCCCTGATCACCTCCCCACACCAATTGGGGTAGGGCCCGCTGGCCAATCACCCAAAGCCTCTCCCTGCACCCAGCCCGGCCATGATTGGCCCAATCAGGATAGGCCAACCAGCCAACCTCCTGCCATCTCCTCCTCCCGACAGGCCCACCAGACCCCACACATGCACAAATTTGTGCACTGGGCCTCTAGTAAATAAATAAAATATTCAAATGCCCTGTGGCAAATATCAGTAGATATTCTATAAATGTCTCAAAAGCAGGCATTCAGTAAATAATAGTGAATGACTATACAAATTAAATTTTAAAAAATTTATTTAGCATATATGACCTACAATTTGACTCGCCCCCTTCTTCGGGGGTCCCCCCCCCCCCCCATTTGTCTAGCAGGCACTTTTTCAGTAGAACTATAGCATTTATTTATTTATTTATTTATTTATTTATTTATTTATTTCTGGATTACCTTATTTATTTATTTACTTACTTATTTATTTTAGCTATTTCCAAAGAAAATTCCAAGAAGCCACCTTAGGAATATTGTGGAATTCCTCCCCCATGGGTTATGGAAAAAGGAGATTTAAGGCAGACATGTGCACACCTCTGACCTCAAGCACGGCTGCCTTTACTAATGCTGCTCGGATTACATTAATGAAAGAAAAGGATTTATTCAAATATCTTGAGGAGCTCAGGAGTAAGAGCCATTTATTCCCCCCCCCCCTTTATTGTAAAGGATTTTTTTAAATTAAATTATTATCTGTGTACATATCTTAGTAAAGGATTTATTTGTATAGTAATGGTCAAAAATAAATATGAGAGGCTAAGTGCTGTAAGAGCAGGACCAGAGCCTAACTTGAGTGACTGGTCTCTGTTACCCAGATATCATTTGAAAGCAAATGTATATATTACCTGAGTCCTCAGATACCTGGATGAAGCTGAGAGTCTGTGAAGGGGCGGGGGGCACAGGAGAGTAAAGAAAGTGGGTCATGGCACAGAGAAGTGTAGACAAAGCAAAATAGATGCCATATGTATGTCTTTCAAGTGAATTTCTTCTTATATTATTTGTGATAGCATTTTTGTGTGTGTGATAACATTTTTTATCTTTTTAGGATGCAATCCTCCTTCAGATAACCCATATTCAAAAATACCCATCTTTCCATTGTTTCCTAATATGGATGGGCTGGTAATGGGAAAGCCATTCAAAGACATGCATAAATTAGAAATGCTTAGGAGAAAGGAGCCTCTGAGTTTCTTTGATAACTACTTTTTCCATAAAAGGGATTGGAAAACACAGGTGAGATTTAGATTTTGTCACATCAGTTAATTTAAATACTTGAGTTGTTTTTCTTATTGACTTCAGAGAGGACGGAAGAGGGAGGGAGAGAGAGATATCAATGATAAGAGAGAATTATTGATTGGCTGCCTCCTGCATGCCCCACATTGGGGATACAGCTCAATCCAGGCATGTGCCCTGATTGAAATGAAACCATGAACCCCTGGCTCATAGGTCGATGCTCAACCACTGAGCCGGGCTAACTACTTGCATTTTTAAGTTCTAACTTAACAGAACTAGTTTTTTAATGACATATTTTTAGTCATTTTATTTCAAACCAGATTCCATAGACATAGTCTTAAATTTAAGCTCAGGTAGAGATATTTAATTTCAACAAATAGTTAAACTTATTGAAAAATACAATTCTAGGCTTGGGGTTGAGGGGTGGGGAATATAAAAAGAAGAATAAAAAGGCCCTCAGGTCCTACCTCCAACTGTTCTTCCATCAACTCGGGGACCATAGCTGCATTTTGGTCTCCCTCAACTGGCTCTAGATCGTGGTTGGGTCAGACACAACCCAAAGGAACAATGTTGTGATGGAGAGGCCGTCCTGCCCTTGGACTGGAACTCATTTATACTCCCAACTGAACCTTCTGGACCTGCTTCAAGTTCTGTTGCCTTTAATCTATTTGCCTTCTTCTCAAGGTACACTTTATCATCATGTGTTGTAAGGTCTCAGGCAAGTATCACCTAGTTTCTGGATATTCTTTCCAAGAGTCGCTGGCCTTACCCTAGTTTGTCACAGGCCTTCCAGCCTTAGAAACAAGATCAAGCTTTGACTAGAGACTAGCCCACCCTGTGGAGCATCTCTGGGTTTCAGAGATCCATGTGTGGTTCACATCATTATGAAATCCCTAAAAGGTCCCTGTAGGCATAGGTTTAAGAGTCGCAAGAGCAGGAGGAGGGAGAAAAAATAGGGAATTTCTCATCAATAGGCATAAAGTGAAAATTAAGCAATATGAATAAATTCTAGAGATCTACTTTACAACACTATGTATATAGTCAATGCTGTATCATACACTAAAAACAGTGTTGAGGATAGATCTCTTGTTTAAGAGTTCTTCCCAAAACAAAATAAAAATATATTTTTTTAATGAGTCCCATGATGATCACAAATGACGTAAAGTCATGACTTTGTCTTTAGCTCTCCAAATGAAGTCATACCCACAGGCAAATATCATTGACCATATGGTTTATCCGTATTTCTTAACATTCCAACATGCAGCCAACATTGAAAACCATTGCTCAATGAAAAGGGAAACTGAGTAAATGAGTGGCAGGGACAGAACTACTTGTAAGGCCTAGTGTAAAATAAAAATGTAAGCCCTTTATCCAAAATTATTAAGACCATAAAGACAGCAACAGTGGGACATGAAACTGAATTCAGGGCCCTTCAAAGTTTGAGGTCCTATGTAATTGCATAGGTCACACCCATGAAGTTGTCCCTGAAAAGCGGATAATTGAGGGGAACAAATAAAGATACAGGGAGAGATTTTGGCCTTGGAAATTAGGAAAAACTTACATATAAGAGGGAAGGAGGAAAAACCAGGTTCAAGGATGGAGAAATCCTAAGGTGGAAAGAAGAGTAGAAAGGGTTCATATTAGATAGCCTTGAAGAGACAATCTGAGGGAGTATGAAGGTCTAGTTTTCTATTGGTTGCTATGAAGACTGTTAACAGTGAATAAAGAAAAGCAATATCAAATAGTACTGCAATGCAGGTCTGGATGAAATTAGGCAATATACATGTAAACAAAAGGAATCAGCATATTCACAAGATTTCTACTGCATTGTGGAGCAGCCCAGGACCAGGGAACACAGATGGCTCTTTCCCATGAGAAGTCTGGGAGTAATAATATAGGTTGTACTCTATGGAGGGCATATTCATTTCAGTGCTGTGTGATGGCTTGAAAAGTTTGAGTAAGGATGGATTTGGCTCTTCTCTACCCTCTATATCCATTCCATATCTCAATCATCTTTTTTAAAAAATATATTTTATTGATTTTTTTTTGCCCCCCTCCTTCCCTCCCAATCATACCCTCCCTCCCCAGAGTTTTATGTCAATTGGTTGTACTTATATGCATATATACCCGTCCTTTGGTTGATCTATTATCTCCCCCAGATCTTCCTCCCCTCCCTATTGTAATTTGACAGTCTGCTTGTTGCTTTACTGTCTCTATATTTATCTTTTGGTTCATCAGTTTATAATGTTCTTTATCATCCATAAATGAGTGAGGTCATGTGATGTTTCTCTTTCATTGATTGGCTTATTTCACTCAGCATGATGTTCTCCAATTCCATCCAGGTTGCTGCAAATGATGAGTATTCCTTCTTTTTTATGGCAGCATAGTATTCCATTGTGTAGATATACCATAGTTTTTGGATCCAATCATCTGCTGACGGGCACCTAGGCTGTTTCCAAATTCTGGCTATTGTAGATTGTGCTGCTATGAGCATAGGGGTGCATATATCCTTTCTGATTGGTGTTTCTAGTTTCTTGGGATATATTCCTAGAAGTGGGATTACTGGGTCAAATGGGAGTTCCATTTTCAGTTTTTTGAGGAAACTCCACACTGTTCTCCACAGTGGTTGCACCAGTCTGCATTCCCACCAGCAGTGCACTAGGGTTCCTTTTTCTCCGCAACTTCGCCAACACTTGTCGTTTGTTGATTTGTTGATGTTGGCCATTCTGACAGGTCATATCTCAATCATCTTAAAGTCAATACTTCTCTTATGAGAAGGCTTTATCATTATGAAAGAGAATTTGCTAAATGCCCATCTACACTAGGGACAATACCAGGTACCACAAAACACCTGAGAAATGCTTTAGCAATAACCTTATAAATCATAACAAACCCTTTCATAATATAATATACTTCTGTTTATTATGTCTTTGTTATATAATTCATACTAAAATATATCACTAACCTTCTTTTAAAATGTGCATCAAGGCAGCAGATATAAAGCCTATCGACTCTTCCTCTGGCTACCCAGCTGAGATCATCACCATTGACCAAATGCTCAAGAAAAAGCAGAAATGGAACATAGCTGAGACAGCTAATCTTAGACCACAGGTGAGTACTTACAGTTGAATGCCTTCCCAGAAAGCATTGACAAAAATATTTTCCACTTCAATACTACAACCATAAAACCAAGAGGGTTTTTTCTACTCTATGTCTTTAAAATAAGACATCATTTCTAAGTTTTACCTATTCTGATGACTTTTTAAAATTTTTAAAATTGATTTCAGAGAGAGGAAGGGAGAGGGATATAGAGAAACATTGATGAAAATCATTGATCACCTCCTGCACACCCGTATGTACTGGGGATTGAGCCAACAGCCCAGGCATGTGTCCTGACCAGGAATCAAACCATAACTTCCTGGTTCATGAGTCAAATCTCAACCATTGAGCCACACCAGCTGGGCATGACATTTCTTGCTCTATAATCAAATGTTAACTGTTATAATTTATCCTGCTAATCTCCTATGGGCCATACCCAGCATCATTTCTGGGACATTAATCTGTTTCATGGTGGAAATAGCTACTAGTTAAGATACTAAACCAACAATCACAGTGAGGGGTACACTCAAGGAATCATGATGAGTTAAAGCATCTTTATTCCAACAGCTAAAAGAATAATAGTAATAATAGTTTAAGTGAGCTTCTAGGTGGAAGGCATTGTATTCTTCATGTGCTCTAATTCACAGGCACTAATTCATTTACTTATCACAGTGACCATTTGAGGTAGGCACTGTTATCATTCCTTATCATCTCACAGATATCCGAGGAGAGGTTAAGGGATTTGCCCGAAGGCACACAGCTAGGCAATAGTAGAGCCAGAATTATAAGCACTGGCAGCTTGGCTCCAGAATCCACACTTGTAACCACAAATCAATGCTACCTGCCTGTTTTTGTGACCTGACTTCTTAGTTCCTTTTGTAGTTCACAGAGACAGACTGAGGTGTATTTATTTTATGCCGCCTCCCTTCTGTATTTGACACTAATGATAAAACTCTCCTTAATGCTTTCTACTTCTTTGGCCTTTACAATACTGGATCTTCAATCCTCCTTGTAGCTCTGTGTCCTTTTCTCTCTCTTCTCTTTCCTGAATGTTCATCCCTAAGTCTTAATATTTTCTTTTTTTTCTAGTATCATGCTGCTGCTCTTCTCATTATACATGCTAATCCATTCATTTGTTCAATAAATATTTATCAATTATTTACAAAGTTCTGGGATTAGGAGATACCACAGAGAAAAAATCAAAGTTCCTATCCTCGCGGGGCTTAGAATAGGGTGGAAGACAGGGAGAAGGAAACAGTAGTAGTAATTATTGTGATAAATGGAACTTCAATGAAGTGCCCGCAACCAAGGCCTCCAGGCTGGCACACCAGACACCCCAAGAGCTGAGATGCTTGGGAAGATCAATAACTTGGCATACCCGTAACCCAGTCCCAACAGAATATTGGGGATCTCTGCATTAATCAAAGGGAGAGCTGGGATGAGTATTGTTTGGACTATTGATCTACCCTACTTATTTCAACTGCCACCTGTACACTAATAATTTATAAGTTTGTCACTAGCCTGGACTTCTTTTCAGTACTTCTGTCTGACCTCGATGACTGCTGGATATTTTTACTTCACTGTCTCATAGCATATCCAACTTGACATGTCCAAAACCAAATTCATTATCTGCATAAATTGGCTATTCCTTGAGTGAATATCTCAGATGTTGATAACTACCATCTTCCCAGTCACTGAAACTAGAAAGCCAGCAGTCAGCCTTAAGTTACACATTTTCCTCATTCTTCACATCTACCAATCACCAAATCTGGCTACGCTCATTCCCCTGAAGATTTTTGAAATATGTCCTCTTTGCTCCATCCTATCACTGCTGCCTTAAGCCTCTATCAGGTCCAGCCTAGACAACAATCTCCAACTTTGTATCCCTCCCTCTTAGCTGCTCCCCTCTGCCCACTCTCCACACAGGAGATCCAACTATATCACTGACTTGCTTAAGAATGAATGCTTCCCTCTCCCAGATGACAGGCTTTTCAACTATGTCATGCTCCACACAACTGAGGAGTTTATCTCACGTCCATCAGAAAGAGTGGCTCACTGCAGCGTGATTCTCACTGAGGACAGGGTTCTCCCCAGCCTAATGGAGACCAAGTCTAAGGGCCAACGACTGGTACAGCAGGCCTTGCCTGCCTTGCCTCCATCCCTCCCTCCCACTTTAAACTTGATGTTTTAGCAATAGCAAGGTGCGTTGCCCCCCTTCCCCACCAACACCAGGATATTTATTTATTGCCTTTGAGCCTTTGCTCATACTAGCCCCTCTCCCTGGAACACCTTCCCGTCACCACTCTCAATTTTACAAAATCCTTAAGGACCTACGCAGCTGAGCATCTTCTTCCTCCCTGACCTAGAGTGGACTGAGAGCCATTCTTGGCACTCCTCTTATATTCAGAGCCCATCGCCATCCCACATGTCCTCCTTGTTTTAGTCTATTGTGTTATTTTTTAAAATATATTTTATTGATTTTGTACAGAGAGGAAGGGAGAGAGATAGAGAGTTAGAAACATCGATGAGAGAGAGTCATCGATCAGCTGCCTCTTGCACACCCCCTACTGGGGATATGCCCGCAACCAAGGTACATGCCCTTGACCTGAATCGAACCTGGGACCTTTCAGTCCCCAAGCCAACGCTCTATTCATTGAGCCAAACTGGTTTCAGCTAGTCTACTGTGTTATTAACATCCTTATAAAATTTCTTATAATCTCATTATTCCAAAGTAATTTATTTTCATTGTCCATCAACTCCTAATTCCTCAAGAGGCACCACCGATATATAAACTCGGTGACTTTCAAATAGACTGAGAACATAACTCTTGGGATATCTAGAATTGTGGTCCACAAATCAAAGATATTTTAAGATAACAACTGTAAACTTCTGCTTTCTCATTACAGGTGAAGAGAGCTCTAGATATCTATCACTTAGGAGTTGCTCTTGAGCACCGAAAAGATATGCTAAATTTCTGGCATGACATCCGAGGGGATTTGGTTGCAGTAGACACTAAAAATGAGTCCTTTTATGAAACCTTTTCTACTTATACATGGTCCTGGAATGTTTGCCAAGAATTACTTTCCCCAAAGGACTTAAGGTTATATGATGCCTGCATGAATAGAAATTCCTCCCACAATTCTTCATTCTCTTCCTCTTCGGATACCAATGAATGTGACATAGAAACAGGAAGAAAAAGAAAACGGAAAGGTTCCAAAGGGTTTCGACAATGAAATTTCTACATTTTCTAAGCAGCTCACTTCAATCTACTTTTTCATAGATATCAAAATTATGGTTTCTTAATTTTGTCTAGTACATTCTTAGCAGCTGGAAATGTTGACATCTTTTAAATTCTAACCAGTAAAAAAGTTTAAGTCATAATATGGTTTCCCTTTTCTAATTCTTACTATAGTAAATAAATGCCATTCTGTTATCTCCCTAGCAACCAGCTGCGCTCTGCTGCCCCCATCTGGTTCTGGCTCAACACTGCCTGGGCAGGAGAAAAACTGAAAACAGGCACTTACCTGGACACAGAGCTGCCCTTGTGAGCACCTAAGGGCCCTCCCAGCAATAAGCATCTAAGTTTATGTGACTGTAAATGGCATTAGGTTTTTTTGATTATTTGTCAGGGTGGCCAGAGGCAATGGATGACAATGACCTTTCCGTTTCAGGGAATAATATCACCATCTCCCAGGGAGTCTTGATTAAATGTGGGTGTTCCTAAGGCTCCTTTAGCCACATACCTTCAGGCCCTCTTAAAAATAGCTCTTTTCATCCATGTATTTCTTCTTGTTGCCCTTCAATACATTGAATAAAGCAGCACATAATAACTATATTACAAGTTGGCTTGTAATTATTTTATTGTGGAAAATATATAGAAAACTTACTAGCGGTATTTCAGTTACGTTTAAGTGTATATCACCCATTACATTTTGTTCCATTATAGGAAAAGAAATAAAATAACAGAAAAAGGAAAGGACATGTTCCGTACTGATGGTGCCGGTGGCTTATAATGTAAAATTATAACATTCCAGGAAAAAGCAATAAAGAGAGTGAAAGTAGCAAAACTGTTTAATAAAATAGTCTTGAAGTAATTTTGTGTTACCAAAAATATTCAAAACTATCTAAATATACTTGCCATTATTCATAATGTTATTTTGGGAAAAATAACTAACTTTATAGATAAGTGACCATGATTTCTAACAAAAAAAAAATAAGATTTATGATTTGACAAGAATTGTTTGTTTTTGAATGGCTGCGAGTGTAACAAGCAATCTAAGAGATTTAATTTGGATGTCAAAATATTGGACCAAAGGGATAATAAAATAATATTTTAAGTAGATCTGTCCTGGAAAATAAAAAAATATACACTAATATATTCTTTTTTAAAAATATATATTTTACTGATTTTTTACGGAGAGGAAGAGAAAGGGACAGAAAGATAGAAACATCGATGAGAGAGACACATCAATCAGCTGCCTCCTGCACACTCCCTGTGCACATACTGGGTATGTGCCTGCAACCAAAGTACATGCCCTTGACCAGAATTGAACCTGGGACCCTTTAGTTCGCAGGCCGATGCTCTTATCCACTGAGCCAAACCAGTTAGGGGACTAATATATTCTTTATATTAAATTGCCACATACTGTTGGTGACAGCATAAACTAGCATCTCTCTGATGGAATACAGTAGAGCAATGTGTACTCAGCCATTCACTCTCCAATTATTTATTGAGTTACATACTTTGTATCTGGACCCTGGATCTAGGATCTGGATATATAACAGTAAACAAACAGATAAAATGCCCTGACCTCACAGAGCTTAGTAATGCAGCTAATTATAACCATTGACTCAGTACTTCCACTTCTAGAAGTTATTCCTAAAGAAATAACCATGAATGTACAAAATGATTTCATTATAAGGATGTTTTTCATGTTGAATTTTTAGGTAGGAAACTTGAAGAAGCCTAAATGTCCAGTAAATTATGCTGCAACTATATAAAACAGTACCAGAATAATTAAAATGTTGTAAAAGAATATGTCAAACAAAATGATAATATGCACACACTATTAAGTTTAAAAGCAGGCTACAATTGCTAAAGAGGCATGAGAGAACTTTATGGGTTAGTTCTAAGACTTAATTATGATGGTGGTTGCACAAATACAGATTTTTACAAAAAGTCATTGAACTGTACGTGTAAAAAGGATTAATTTAATTGTATGTAACTTACATCTCCATGAAGCTGTAAAAACAATACAAAAAGGGGCACGGAACAGTTCTGAAAGTTATTTCTACAAATAAATTAGAAAAAAAAGACAGGGAGGGTATAAACCAAAATGTTTAATAGGTTAAATTAAGGATGGAATGGGATATTTTCTTTTTTTCTTTTGTCTTACCTATACCTTCTAAATGTTCTATAATAAATACATATTTATGTTGCAATAAGTAAAAAAAACCCAGAAAATCTGTTTTAAAATTAAAGTTTTAAAACCAGCTTTTCCAATTATCTGGGCTGCTATAAGTGCTGTCCAGGCTCTATGAAACCTTAAGGAGAGCAAATTATGACACCAGGGTGCTTTCCCCAAGCCCTTCAGTTCCAGAGCACATCTTACACCAACCAAATTTTCCACTGATTGAAACTGAAAGAAGAGCATGAAACAGTTAACTACCTCTGACCGGGGTTGACACCCAAGGCAATAATCCAAACTAGAGTTCTTAACCTTTACATCCTTTGAACCTGTGCCACCCACTGAGCGAGTAGAGTTCTCACTAGTCACCAGCAGAGGGACCCTTAGCTCCTCTGTAACATAGGGTGGTATGAAGTCTGATAACCACAGAGGACTCAGCCATGTCTTCCAAATTTCTTCGGAAGAAAATATTTAAGTGCTTCAAAAGATGGAGAAAAATGAGTTGTAGAGATCAAAGATAATTATATGAAAGTATTAAGTATTAGGATACTTTAGAATATTTCATGGGTGGAGGTAGGGGTGGAAGAGTACAAGGAGGATAAATGGTGATGGGGGAAAAATAAAATAAAAGTTTTTTAAAAAAAAATATCAATAGGGCCCAAGTTGTTGGACATTTTAAATGACTAATTATTGGAACTAACATAATAACTGAAAGTCAGCTCTCTGTAAGAAATTAAGAAGTGGGGCAATTGATTAGGAGCCCTAATAGCTTTTGGTATAGGGAGAAAAAAAGTCTGTGGATGAGAGAACAAGATGCCAAGAATAAGCATAAACCAACTATCATATCTGCAAACAGCTAGCCTACAGAAAAGATAGAAATTCTTGTGTTTATTTGGAAAGGAGATTTTGTTCAAATTGTTTCAAAAGACCATGATAATGGCAAGTCTTTTGTCTTCAAATAAACTACAAGTTCTTTACTATCTTATCTTTTTTATTCACTTGTGTATTTTTCTTGGTGATTAGAGAGAGTCTGGGAATTGTTCCCATTTCTTTGGTGGGAGAGGTATAGAAGAATCTCTCATTGCTCCCCTTAGTGTTTTTTTTTTTCTTTTAAAATATATTTTTATTGATTTCAAAGAGGAAGGGAGAGAGGGAGAGAGAAACATCAATGATGAGAATCATGCCTCCTGCGTGCCCCCTACAGGGGATGAAGTCTGCAACCAGGGCATGTGCCCTTGATGGGAATTGAACCTGGGACCCTTCAGTTCTCAGGCGGATGCTCTACCACTGAGCCAAACAGGCTAGGGCTCCCCTTGGTTTTGACTATGGGAAGAATCTGCAATGAAGTAAATGATCACTGATTACCAGTGTAAGTCAAGTACTTCTCTACTCAAATAACTAACCCTTCTCTTCTTCCAAATGGTAATCATCCCTCTTCTGGAAATCTTCTCAACTAACTTGTCTTATATTGACAGCCGGCTCTTGTGAGAATCATTTTGTAGTGATTATCAAATTAGAAATGTAAGGCTGAAATGTATTAATGTCACAAAACTACATCTGTGCATGAATTACAATCTTGACTGTGCAAAATAAGCTTGGATATGAATAATTTAATCAGGTTATAGAAACAAAACAAAACAAAAACAAAAACAAAAAACACTTTAAAGTTCTCCTCAGGCTGAAACCGGTTTGGCTCAGGGGATAGATGGGTCTCAGGTTCGATTCCAGTCAAGGGCATGTACCTTGGTTGCAGGCAACATTCCGTGTGTGTGTGTGTGTGTGTGTGTGTGTGCGTGTGTGTGTGTGCGCGCGCGCGCGCGCGCGCGCGCGCGCAGGAGGCAGCTGGTGGACGTTTCTAGTTTTCTATCCCTCTCCCTCTCTGTAAAAAAAAATCAATAAATTAAAAAAAAATAAAGTTCTCAGTTATTTATTTCCTCCCCCCCAAAAAAAAAAATTGTATGGAGATATTTCATAGCTTTTCACACTAAGAAAAGCTGATTGGAGAGGCTGGCGAATTGCCCTATTTCCTCACCCTGCGAGCTACTTTTCTCAATTCTTTGGGCCAATAGGCTCTACCGTGGAACTGCCTTAGAACTCGGTGAACCGGGGGACCTGTCAGGGGCTCCCAGCACTGAAGGAAGGCTCCAGCGGGCCGTCTCCCACTCTCCCGCCGCCACGCGTGTCCACCAGAGCCTTCCATCCCGCCCAGAGGGGCCAGCGCCACCCAGACGCAGGCCACCTGAGCCGCCCCGCCCCCGTCTCTTCCCGCCCTTTCCCCGCGCCCCCGGAAGGGGCGTGGCCTCGCAGGAAGTTCTCGCGTTATGGAGCGGCAGGTATTTCCGGCTCCGGTATCATGGCAGACTCCGGCCCGGAGTCCGGCGGGAGGAGGCAGCAGTTCGGGGGCCGCTTGCTGAGCGATCCGGCGCGGGTCTTCCACCACAATGCCTGGTAACCGCCCTGCCCTGGCGCGGCCGGCGGCCCGCCCTGCGCCCCGCGCCCCGGGCGCCCCGCCGAGCCGCCGGCCGCCCGCCACGGGCCCCGCGGGCTCCGGCCGCGCGCGCCGCTCCCGGGGGAGGCGTTCCGAGGCCGGCTACTCGCCCCGTCCGCCGCTGGAGCGCGAGGCCCCTGAGCTGCCTGTTTGATTTCCCCAGGGACAACGTGGAGTGGTCGGCGGAGCAGGCCGCGGCGGCCGAGAGGAAAGTCCGGGAGAACAGCACCCAGCGCGTTTGCCCGAAGAAGCAAGGTGCGCCCCGGGGGCTCTCAGTGGACTCCCCAGCCCGGCCTGCTGCTGGGCGCGCTCTCCGGGAGGCGGAGAACCGAGGGCGCCAAGAGCCTTTTGTTCATCTGGGCTCGGGGGTAGAACAGGAGATGTGCAAGGATGGAAATGGGCTACACCGGTAAAGTCTTGTGAGGGCATAGAGGGTGTTTTTCTTTTTAGGAGGGGGGTTTGATATTATTTTCTAGTGCTTAAGTTTTTAATTATGTTGACTGGACCCATATTTTTTTAAAATATATTTTATTAACTTTGTACAGAGAGGAAGAGAGAGAGATAGAAACATCGATGAGAGAGAATCATTGATCAGCTGCCTCTTGCACACACACACACACACACACCCTCGCCCTCCCCCCCCCCCCCCCACTGGGGATGTGCCTGCAACCAAGGTACATGCCTTTGACCAGAATCGAACCCGGGACCTTTCAGTCCGCAGGCTGACGCTCTATCCACTGAGCTGAACCGGTTTTCAGCTAGACCCATATTAATATGGCTGGCTTCTGGCAATCGCCATACGATTGTTTTAGAGATGTATATTCCACATGACTTTGTCACCACTGAAGCTAGATCCAAGTGGTTGGACTCTTAAATGTTGGAAGAGGGGACTAATGACTGGTGAATTATGTGTGTGTTTTTTTGAGTACTGGCTGTGAGAATTTGGGGCTCCTGCCAAGGAAAGGTAGGTGAAACAAAATGGAGATAAATCTGGCCAAAGAAAAAGAGAGTGCTTCTGGAGAGGTGGATGATTTCACTGCAAAATATTCCTAGACACTAAAACTCTATGTTGGGCCTAGGTCCTCAGAGATGATTGAAGGTACTACTAGCAGTTGGAGAGTAGTACCCACGGAAAGAGTTCTGTGGCAACCATTAGAAGATTCCAGTTAAAAATATTTACCATGCATAGTTTGACAGACTAGATCAAAGTAAGTTACAGTTGAAAGGTAATTTGAAAATCATGTGATCCAATAACCCCTTTTTACAATTAGAGAAACTTGGACCCCAGGACATTAAGTGCCTTATCCAGAGGTAAACAGTTAGTAGTAGCAATGGTGAAACTAAAATCCAATTTCTTAGATTTTTATTCGTCTGCTACACTAATCAAGGTCCTGTGATGGCAACAAGCAGAAAACTGAAATCTAGAGCAACCTTGACCACCTTCAACAACAGCTTTCTTTTCAGCAGTCCACACTTCTTTAGTATATATATCCTGTCCTCTATCATCAGAACTCTTACTTGGCTGAGACATTTTTTCTTTGTCAACAATCTTTATTTTCCTCTTTAGTATCCACACTAAAGAACCATCGACAGAAGAACATATTTAAAGAAGAGCTGCCTGTATCACAACCATTGAGTTCACATGGGGAACAAACAAGAACATGGGGTGTTTAGCTTGTAAAAGAAGATCTAGAGTGGGAAATGACTGCCCTCAAACACAAAAGAGTTGTTCTGTATGGTCCTGAGAAATGTAGGACCTTTTGGCCAGGAGGTATTAGACAGATTTTTTTGAACATTAGAATTTTCTAATAGTTAAGAGCCATCCAAAGACATGGGAGAAGAATTGATAGGTAGTAAGAGCCTAGGCAGAAGTTGGACTCCGTAGAAGGGCAATATATGGAGGGAATTCACGTGTGATAGGTCTAGCACTGAATGATCTCCATCTCTGAGGCTGTGGCTCTAATTGAGGATACTTTTAGTATAAAATGACATTTGATGAAGCAAGATGACAATTGACAGTAGATGCAAAGTGTTGAGAAATGGTTCTTAAAGTCTTTTCTTAAACATTTACAGTTGATTATGAGACCAATGCCCACAAATATTGGAATGACTTCTACAAAATCCATGAAAATGGATTTTTCAAGGACAGGCATTGGCTTTTCACTGAATTCCCAGAGCTGGCACCTAGTCAGAACCAAAATCACTTGATGGATTGGCTCTCAGGGAAGAAGAGCGAAGTGCCTGAATGTAGGAGCAATGCAGGTGGACCTGGTTTAATAATAGAAGAACAGCACAAGTGCTCTTCAAACAGCCTGGGGCATAAAGCACAGACTCTTCCTGTGGAAGAGAAGGTAACTCAGAAACTCAGCCACTTGGAAATCTGTGCTGATGAGTTTCCTGGATCCTCAGCCACCTACCGAATACTCGAGGTAACCATTCTTTATTGCTCTGGTAGTAGTTAGTAAAGTTGTAATGTTGTGCACATGGTCCGAATAGAGAGGCTGACCACAAAGTGACATCTGTCTGATGAAGACTTGACCGTTATGTTGGCCAGGAATCACCTCCATTTAAGTATATATATAATTGATTTCAGGGAAAGGAAGGTAGAGGGAGAGAGAGAGAAACACCAATGAGAGAGAAACATCCATGGGCTACCTCCTGTGTGCTCCCTACTGGGGATCGAGCCTGAAACCAGGGCATGTGTCCTGACTAGGAATTGAACCAGCAACTTTCTGGTACATGGGCTGATGCTCAACCAACTGTGCCACACTGGCCAGGCTCACCTTTATTTTTTAACTGAAATGCCCTAAATGTAGACCAAGGTATCTATCTGGTGGTTGTGGCAAACAAAGGTAGATCACCTGAGGTATACTACCTGGGAGCATCATATAGCATCTGAAAGTTGTAGGTTGTATTGCGCCTGCCATCTGGAAAAGTGTCTAGGTCGGTACTGTAATGTAAATTCACAAATGATGACTACACACTCCACTGGAAGCTGATTAGCCTTGAGATTGATTCCTGTGGCATGACCTTTTACCTCTTACCCTCCCCCAAGCAAAGTGGGATGTCTGGCGCTCTCTTTCTCCCTGCTCATTTCCTCATAGTTTTTTGAAGATGAACTGAAATGGTGTATATAAAATAGTTAAGAATAGTGTCTGGCGCATAGTAAGCGCTTAGTAAATGGCTGCTGTTTTTATTACTACATCCAGTGCTGTATTTAAGGACAGTGTGATCATGGTTCCCTTTTCATGAAAATTTCCCAGTCCATTAGAAATGTTTTTCTGTGATATGGTAGAGCTCAATATGAAAATATTTCATCTACAGGACCATTCACTAGAATTCAAAAAGTAAAAGCAACCCTGTTAACAATAAATAATTTTTTAAAAAAAAATATCGTATTTTCCCGCGTATAAGACGACCTTTGAAACGAAAAAAAGTCAACCGAAAATTGGGGGCAAAAGACCAAAATTGCACAAAAATTACCTGCAGATCTTGACGGCAAAGTAAGTCTTTTCTTTGAAGTAGGGGGTAGTCTTATACAGAGAATATAGGCCTAAACCTATGTTTTAACTGTAAAATTAGGGGGTCGTCTTATACGCCGGAAAATACGGGTAAGAGCAACCTGTGCCCTTTTTTTCTAGCCCCTTTGGCTAATGAAAGCCCATGCTATTTCTGTACATGTTCCTGAAGTCAAGGTCAGTGAATGTCATAGGTACTGTTTAGCTCTGGTCACTACATCATCCTTAACACAAGTGGGCGAGATTATCTGTTGTTGATTATTTATCTTGCTTTGGGTAATTAATTTGGAAAGTTCTGTGATTAATAATTCATTTCTGTCTGCAGGTTGGTTGTGGTGTGGGAAACACAGTTTTTCCAATTTTAGAAACCAACAAGTAAGTATGTTGTAAAGTTTAACTATGACAGCAAAGAGGAGGAAAGTGAGGGGTTGTTTATCAAAAGTTGTACATCAAATGTAACTGGTTATTGGGAGCCACTGTTTACAGGAAATTTACATTTCTACATTATCCATTTATGGGTTGTTTTGATTTAATCTGATTTATATGTTAACCTTTGTCATCAAGGAAATTAGTGAGATTTAAACCTTTTACGTTGTTAATATATGCTACTTTTATAGTTTAACCCTGTTACTCAGGAAAGAGCATAGACATAATCCAGTTTGTAATGTAATTCTTCTGTTGTTTTGTTTTCTCCCTCTGCCCATTTCAGTGACCCAAGACTCTTTGTTTACTGTTGTGATTTTTCTTCCACAGCTATACAGCTGGTCCAGGTAAGTGCAGTGGCTCCTATCAGTAATTTCCACTGATTAAAGGGAAAGGGTCTTCTAAAAATCGTGGTTTCTAGCTATTTCCTTACTGTACTGTGGTCTAAAAGTCAAAGATTTACCGAAATAGCCTGAAGGAGAGGAAAGGGTCAAATACAGAGTACCACTTGCCAGCCAGGGAACTCTGGGCAGGTCTTAGGCCTCGCCAAACTTATTTTTTAAGGATTGAAATGAGATGATTGTTTAGCCAAAGTTCTTTGAGTTACAAGTCGCAGAAACATGTAGACAAACTCAGCCAGTAAAGTGGAATGTCATAGAACCCAAGAGCATCAAGTGTAGCCAGGACTGAAACTCAGCCCTGAAAAGGTGTCAGATACCAACGCAAGTTGGCTGGCCAGTGAGACGTTGCCGTCCCCTCCATCACTACACCTCCCCCGAGTTCATAGAATCTTATCTCTCATTGCCCAGTGCTCACTTACCTTTTTCAAATTTGTTTTCTCTTTGCAGGCTAGCTTTCTGTAGTAGGTTTTCCCTGATTTTGCACATGCTTACCCCTCCCAGTTCCTTATAAGTCCACCCGGTTTGGGTATTCTCAGCACCTCACCAGAATGACTGTCCCTGTACCAAAGACTCCAGTCTGGGTTAACCCAGCAGCTGGTAATCTCCTTTGCTAGCTGGTTTGCCTCAGTGGATAGGTTTGATTCCAGTCAAGGGTACATACCGCTGTTACAGACTTGATCCCCAACCAGGAGGCAACCAATCAATGTGTCTCTCTCAAATTGCTATTTCTCTCTGTGTATCTCTCCCCGTCCCTTCCACTCTCAAAAAATCAATGGAAAAATATTGTCGAGCCGAAACCGGTTTGGCTCAGTGGTAGAGCGTGGGTCTGTGGACTGAAAGGTCCTAGGTTCCATTCCGGTCAAGGGCATGTACGTTGGCTCCGAGCACATCCCCAGTAGGGAATGTGCAGGAGGCGGCTGGTTGATGTTTCTCTCTCATCGACGTTTCTGGTTATCTATCTCTCTCCCTTCCTCTCTGTAAAAAATCAATAAAATATATATATATATATATTTTAAATTCCATTAAAAAACAATATTCTTTAAAAAAAAAGAAAAAGAAAAGAAAAATATTGTCGAGTGAGGATTGACAACAACAACAAAAAAGGAATGTGTGTCTTAATGATTAGAGCGCCATCCCTCAGAGAGAAGTAACTGCAGTTACACTTTTTTTTTATTTTTATAATATATATTTTATTGATTTTTTACAGAGAGGAAGGGGGAGAGATAGAGAACTAGAAACATCAATGAGAGAGAAACATCAACCAGTTGCCTCTTGCACACCCCGTACTGGGGAAGTGCCCGCAACCAAGGTACATGCCCTTGACCAGAATCGAACCCCGATGCTCTACCACTAAGCCAAACTGATTTTGGCTGCAGTTATACTTAAAGCAAGATTAGTTTACCTGAGGTTCTGTGAACATTTTCTAATGTTATTTCTCTCCTCCAATTATCTGTAGGCAAATTCAGCGTTTGATGCAGCTAGGTGTTTTGCCTTTGTTCATGATTTGTGTGATGAAGATAAGAGTTATCCGATTCCCCGGGAGAGTCTTGATATCATCATCCTTATATTTGTTCTTTCAGCGATTGTCCCAGACAAGTAAGTAGTATAACAAAAACAAAGCTTTAGTCATGGACCTTGAGTTGGGCCCTAAATAAAAAGAATGTTCTGATAAGATAGAATGAAGCCACTCCATATAAAGTGATAGAAACGTCTCGACCGTTTTCCTAAATTTGTCTTGAAGTCCAACTTTTGTTTCAGTCTCTAAAACTGCTTATTGACTTCATTGGTTGGTTCTTTTTCTCATTTTTATGGTATAATATTCCCCAAAGAATGGGGGGACATCTTATTTGGAGAAATTTCATATTGATACTCTCATAGTATGCTGTATCAACATCTCATTATTAGCCTTTTTAAATGAACCAAGCATTTTCTCTCTTTTTTTATTGATTTTAGAGAGAGGGGTAAGGAAAGAGAAACGTCGCCTTATTGTTCCACTTAGTTATACACTCATTGGTTGCTTCTTGTATGTGCCCTGACTGGAGATCGAACCACAACCTTGGCATATTGGGTTAATCAACTGAGCTACCCAGCCAGGGCATAAACCAAGCTTATTATCAGCACAGAATGTACAGTGAAGCCTAACTCAGCTATTCAAGATACTTGAGTTCTGTGGAAAACAAGTACAATAGGAGTTCATAAAATCAATTTAGATAAAAGACAATTGCTGTACCCTAAAAGATACTGTTAAAGGCTCATAGACATAGGCAACTTGTCTTCCTAGTAAAATACTGTTTCAAGGAAGCAGTGTTGGTTGGAGACCCGGAGAAGTGATTGATTTTCTCCAGCCCATGTTTCCTCTAGACTAACATTGAGTCATTTGACCTGACAGGGATATTGTGAATGCAGTAAAGGTAGATGCAGAACAGCCCAAAGTGCCTGCATGGCTCAAAACATTAGTAACTGCAGAAGTTTAAATGCAACAACTTTAAAAAACTTGCATGGACTGAAACGCAGCATTAAAGTTAAAAATAAGTTATTCAGTAGTTAAATAAGCTTTCATATTTTTTTTTGTAAGTTTGTATTGTTAATACTTCTGAAGTTAGAAAAGCAGAATGTTATACCAAGCCTCAATATGAAAAGTGTAATAGGCAATGTGAAGCACTTTCCTCAGTTACTCATTTGCATACTGACTGTCTTGAGGTTCAGTCTTTATTTAACAAATGGAAAGATCTGCATTCAGAGAACTTGGGCCTAGAGGGGGAAGGAAGATGAGTTTACTAGCAGTCCCATTGCAGGTGGTGGGAACACAGGGCTGGGATGGCTTCCTTCTGAGGCAATCCCAGGAGGAGGAGGAAGTGAGCCAGCTGAGTGTGTCACTTTCCTGTGGTGGAGCCCTAAGACCAGGAGGTTATCCTCAGTTATTAGGCCCCAGAAGGCTCATCAGAAGTTGGATGTGTGCTCCTGTTCTAAATAAAGCAAGGGCAGAGAATCTAAGACTTCAGGGTTAGGAAGTCCATGGTCTTTTTAGAATATGCAGCAAGGAAAAGGAAGCTTGCCCAGCCTGCTTGAGTGTCCACCTCAGAACAAGAGGTCATGGTTCCATTCCCTGTTGGCACATGCCAGGGTTATGGGCTCCATCTCTACGCGGCGTGCAGGAAGCAGCCTATTGATGATTCTCTTACATCATTGATGTTTCTCTCCCTCTCCCTCTCTGAAATCAGTAAAAAAATATTTTTAGAAAAAAAAAGGGAATCTTATCCTTAAAGAGGTCTGATCTTCATTCTCTGTTTCCTCCCCACCACCCCCCTGCCCTCCCTTACAGAATGCAGAATGCTATCACTAGGCTGAGCAGGCTTTTGAAGCCTGGAGGGATGATGCTTCTGCGAGATTATGGCCGCCATGACATGGCTCAGCTTCGGTTTAAAAAAGGTATTTTGCTACTATAATCAAAACAATAGTTTTGCCATCAAAATAGACATAAAAATAAGTGGAACAGAGTAGATACTAGAATTACAGCTTCATATATAAAACCACTTCATGCATGACAAGGGTGGTCTGTTTTTTGAAGGCTTGTATATCAATAATTAGGTGTTAGGGAGGTCTTTTTAACCAAGACAGCTACTTTTTAAAGAGCTACTTTCAGAAAAAGACATTTGATTACATAAACTATTTTAAATGTGATGTGGCAAATGATGTCATTAAAAAGTTAAAAGACAAGTATTCTTGGTGCATAAAACAGATAAAGACTTAATATCTGTGCTCTTCAAGGGACTCTTGGCAAACTGATAAGGAAAAGATCAGTGATCCACCCAAAAAACGGAAGGAATATTTTAGGGTTGGTTCACAGAAGGACATATTCAAGTGGCCAAAAAAAAACCAAAAAAAACTTCAAGGGAATAAAAGTAACAATGAGATACCAGTTTTTAAACTTATTGCTGGCCAGTTCAAATAAAGAGAGATGTTTCTCCACTACTGGTAAAACATAAATTATTATGGCCTTTTTTATTTTTGTATTTCAGAGAAGAAGGGAGAGAGAGATAGAAACATCAATGATAAGAGAGAGTCATTGGTTGGCTATCTCCTGCACACCCACTACTGGGGTTCGAGCCTGAAACCCCTGCATATGCCCTGACTGGCAATCCAGGCAATGACCCCTGGTTCATTGGTCAACGCTCAACCACTGAGCCTTTTACGGCCTTTTAAAAAGCTACTCTATATTAACTATTCAATCTAATAGTACTTTTGGGAATTTTTCAAGAACCAGCTATAATATATATATATATATGGCACAATCTTGGAAACAAAGTGAATGCCTCTGTCTTAGGGCATAATGCTGGTCTTGGGGTGGGTGTGTTCCATTTTATTTCCAAGTGAGGAGAGCAGTGCACAGATGACTATTTCAGACTTGAGCTCACATGTAACAGTATTTCTTGGGAGAAATACTTAGGTGAGGAAAGCAAGTAAGATTATGTTGACATTTAAAAGGTGAAGGATTACACACCAGGGTGTTAAATGGATGTACAGTCGGGAGTTAGTAAAAGGGAGAGTGTGTCTAAGATAAAAAGAGTATATGTGTTACATATATATGAATATGTGTGTAGACACATGAGAGACATGCGAAATGACACTCACCAAAATGGTTTAGACTTAGTGATATTGTTTGATATTTATTTACTTTTTTTTTTTCTTTAAACAAAGAGTAGGTAGTATTTATTTAATGAGGGGAAAGGTGAAAACACAACCTGTTTCAGAGGAAGCAGAACTGTAGACTGGGAAGCTGAGAGTCACATATATAAGTTACTTAGCCTGCAGTTTGAGCATGACCTCTGGCTGTTCTTCTCCAAAGCACCATTCCTTTGTAGGAGAAAAATTGCAGATTCCTGCAAAGTACCAAGTATAACCAAGGAAGAATTTTGTTCTCTACCCAGGAAGATGATCTGTGATGTATCTTTGATTGACAGTGAAATTCAAGAAAGTGCTTTAAAATTTCTCTATTTTTGCCACATTGCTGTGCAGGTCAGTGTCTGTCTGAAAATTTCTATGTGAGAGGTGATGGCACCAGAGTTTACTTCTTCACCCAAGGTACGGAAACAACACTCATCTTTATATTAATACTTCCAAAGTATATTAAATGTTCCTGGTGGATTTCCAGAAGTCAGGTCATCGGGCTCTCCTAGCTTTTACAACCTTTTCCTAGCCTTTCCCGTCCCTCACAGCCAACCTGAACTGCTCACTGTTCTCCAGGTAGGCTCAGCTTGTACGTCTTCTTTCCTCCGCCTTGTTCTTCTGCCGTCTGCCCTTCCTCTCTGTCACATTGTTCATAACGGGAAACCAACCCATTTTGCTAGACTCCAGTGCAGCTTTTTCACCCTCTAAGCTGGGTTGTGCCTTAGATGCATCTTAATTAGGGTGAACTCAACATTCACTAGGTTCCAGGCATCACCTTGAACTGTTCTCCCCTGCTGCTCACCCAGCTGCAATTTCCTTCTCCACCAGTGCCGTAAGAACACTCCATTGCTAGGACCTTTGTCAGATCACATATTTTTCTGAGCCTCTGGTTAAAGTGATAGAACCTTTCCCCTTAAAAAAAAAGGGGGGGGGGGGCTTTCACATACATATAGGTAGATCTTTACATGTAATTTTAAGGTATTCATAGAGCCCTTCATGAAAACTCCTCCCCATCAGCTGACTCTTAGAGCTTTCCCTCAGGTTCCAGTTCACCCTTCCCACATGGTGTGGCTTCCCCTGCCTGAACATGAACTTGCTCTTTCCTAGCACTGCTGCATTTTTAACTAAACTGCCTGCTGAAGCCACTAAAAATACCTAAGCTCTCAAGGAGCTTCATTTAACATAGAAAGTGGTAGGTATTATACTTTTCTTCTGGGGAAAATACTTAAACATCTATTTTTCCAAACTAGATGAACTGGACACACTTTTCACAACTGCTGGACTGGAAAAGGTTCAGAACCTGGTGGACCGTCGATTGCAAGTGAACCGAGGGAAACAGCTGACAATGTACCGAGTTTGGATTCAGTGCAAATACCGCAAACCTCTTCTGGCCAACACTGGCTCCTGACAGGATGGGGGCTCCGTGGCTTTTTAAAAAGCATTCACAACTGGTGTCTTGTTTATGTTGGACAGTCCAAGGAAACTTGAGCCTTGAATCTAGGGAAAATGACTTTTATCAAGATTCTAACAATCATGCTTTCTATTTGTGAAGCCCTTTAATGTATACTTTTTTCCAGCTTTTTCTTACTTTGAGATCTCAAAATACCTTTCTTGTCATTTTATAGTATCTTAATAACTGAAGTATTCATGGGAATTGGGAATTTTAAAGACATCAAGAAATTTCCATGTGAAAGTATCATGTATGATAAAGTGCCATTTGACTGTATGTTTCATTAAGTTATTTGAAATGCAAATACCTAGTCCCAAGGTATTTTAAGCATTTTTCCCCTTCTCTAACCTGTGTCCAAAAATTAAAAGGATCTTCATTTTTAGAAAAATCGTCTTATGTCTTATTGTGTCCTTAAATGTTTGACACAAAAGGAATTGAGAGAACTTTATTTTATCCACACCCCTTCACTTCTGAATGTGATTGTCATTGGTATTACTTTTTTTTATGTTCTGCTTATTTTCAGTTATTATTTTTACATGTTTCTCTCTTGTGGTCCATAAGTTATATGATGTTTTCTTTTTTTTAAATATGTTTTTATTGATTTAAAGGAAGGGAGAGATAAAAACATCAATGATGAGAAGGAATCATCAGCTGCTTACTGAATGCCCCTACTGTGAATTGAGCCCGAAACCTAGGCATGAGACCCCGCCGTGAGTTGAACCATGATCTGGTTCACAGGTTGATGCACAACCACTAAGCAACACGAGCTGGGCTGATTATTCTTTTTTTTTTTTTTTTTTTATCATCACCCTGGGATATTTTCCCATTAATATTTAGAGAGAGTGGAAGAAAGGGAGGGAGGGTGAGACACACATTGATTGGTTGCCTCCCGAATGCATCCCGGATCGAACCTGCAACCCAGATAAAGTGCCCGAGCTCACAACCCCTCTGTGCTCCACCCAACGCTCTAACCACTGAGAACAATGGCCAATTATATACTATTAATTTTACCAAATAAATGTCAATTCCTCATGCCAACATTGTGGAGCTTCAAATTAAACTTGGATATTCTCATAATTGTTATATTCTTTTACATGTGAAAAGATAAGCAATTTTTTAAATAATTCCAAACTTACAGAAAAGTATAGTACCAAGAATGTTACAAGAAGAGTCACTTTTTTCCTGAATCACTTTTAAGAGGGTGTAATTCCTATTATGAGATGTTCTGTATCACCAAATAAGTTTTATCAGAATAAGTTTACATGGAAACACTGTTACCCACAGATAACCAAGTTTTTCCAAGAGTCCCAATATAGCCTTTATCACTTTATTTTTTAAAAAGCTATTTTGTTGTACTTAGTCATGTCTCAGCCTCCTTCAAGCTCATGACCTTGACATTTGAAGATTACAAGCTATTTTGCAGACTGCCCCACAAATTGGATTTGTTGATATTTCACAATTTGGTTCAAGTTCTACCTTTTTGGCAGGAATATCAGGTAATGCTGTGCTGCTCCTATTCCTTCCTACTAGGATACATGCTTTTTAATTGCTCCATTGGTGATGCTAACCTTGATTATTTAATTGAGGTGGTGTCTGTGGAGATTCTCCACGAAAAATCACCAGTAAATATTTTGTAGGGGAGTGTTTTGAGACTATAGATATCCCATTCCTCACCAAACTATCCCCTGGTTTCAGCATTTTGCTGTTTCTTGCCTAATTACTACTCTATGGTGGTGGTCATATAGTGTTTTCTAATCCCATTCACCCTATATTTACAGGTTGGTGTCTATAAGGAAGACTTCCTTTTCTCATCCTTTTACTTAATATGGACTCATGGGTTTCTTTTTTATTCAATGATTATATACTATTGCATTTTTAAAAATATATGTTTTATTGGTTTCAGAGAGGAAGGGAAAGGAAGAGAGATAAAACATCACTGATGAGAGAGAATCATTGATTGGCTGCCTATTGCATGCCCCGACTGGGAATCCAGCCAGCAACCCAGCATATGCCTTGACCAAGAAATCGAACTGACCTCCTGGTTCATAGGTTGATACTCAACTACTGATCCACACCGGCCGGGCTTCTAGAGTATTTTATGTTCATATATATTGTCCTAGATTTGGCCAGCAGGAGCTCCTTCAAGTGCTTCTATAACCTTTTGATGTGTCCCAGTTATTCTTTGAGCACTTCAAGCACAAGTTGTTCCAGGCTCATTTTGTACTTTTTATGTCCCAGTCTGAATCAGCCATTTCCCCCAAGGACTTATGTTTCTTGAGTGGAGAAAGGAATTTAGAAACCAAGCTAAGTGTGCTCATTGCTATTGTGGTGTTCCTATTCCCAGGCCACCTAAGTGGCTGGAGCTGAGGGATATATGTATGTACTTATACATGTACTCACATCAATGTTTCTGTACTTAAATATATTTAAAACCATCAGTTCAGATCAATACCTTTTATTTCAATCCAACACCACAGTTTATTCTAGTTTTGATTCTCCCTCCCTGTACTTGGCGATTCCCTTTTCCGATAATTCCAAACTCCCATGATCCACATTGTATTGGGCCAATCCTCTCATATATTACCATTCGTTTGCCACTGCCCACACATAAATGCCCTCATCTCTCTAGGACTCTGATTCCCAACTCCCAGCCACTGTTGCCACCACTTCCTATACAGACACCCTCCGCACCCTGCTCTGGGTCCTGTGCCCCCAGGGGCTACTCCCTCTCTGCCTCTGTGCTAACATCTACCTTGGTTGGCTTCACCTGATGAATGTTAAAAAAGGTGGAAGGGAAGGGAGCTCCCATCTTTTCATTGCAAGGAATATATTTAAAAGGAAAAGACTGAATCACTGGGATGGTATTTCATTTATCTTTTGTAATGAAGAACAGATGCATTAACTCAATGGTCCACTTAAGACCCTCTAAAGCATTTCAAAGCAATAGGAACAGTTTGGGGGTTTTAAAGATTTTTAAATTGATTTTTAGAGAGAAAAATGTATATGAGAGAAGAGTTCAGCTGGCGTGGCTCAATGGTTGAGCTTCAATGTATGAACTGGAGATCACAATTCGATTCTGGTCAGGGCACATGACTGCGTTGTGGGCTTGACCCCCAGTGTGGGGCAAGTAGGAGGTGGCCAGACTGTGATTCTCATTACTGAAGTTTCTATCTTCCTCTCTGAAATCAATAAATATATATATATATATATATATATATATATATATATATATATATATATATATATTTTAAATGTGAGAGCAGAACATCATCTCTTGCCTCCTGCATTTTTCCTACTGGGAATTAAGACCACAACCTGGGCATGTACCCTGAACTGGAATTGAACTGGCAACCTTTTGGTGCACATGATAACACCTGACTAAGCCACATTGGCCAGACTAATAGAAACTGTTTTAATATATTTTTATTAATTTCAAAGAGGAAGGGAGAGGGAGAAAGAGATAGAAACGTCAATGAGAGAGAATCGTTGATTGGCTGCCTCCTGCATACCCCCTACTGGGAATCAAGCCCGCAACCCAGTCATGTGCCCTAATGGGGAATCAACCATGATCTGGTTCATAGGTCAACATTCAACCACTGAGCATCCTGGCTGGGCAATAAGAACAGCTTTTATTCCATCTTCCTGGCATCCGACTTAGCCTTTGGCTTAGGTCAAACAGATGAGCCTTTTCCTGACCCCTAGTTCCTTTTCTTCTCTGCCATATGCTAAGCTCTCTGACTTTATGTCAGGCTAACCTGAACTCCCTAAGGGACTTTGCATAATTTTTCAACCGTGGAATTGCTAATGATGAGCAGAGGACAATTAAACCTGGTCAGAGTCGATTAAAGTATGACCTTAGTGCCACTCTAACAGACTGGACTACCAGGCTGACTCCGACGGCTTTTGATGTTTTTAATGCAAAATAAAAAGTGCACTGTTGGCTGGAACGGTAGCTCCACGTGTGAAATTGCTCAGGAAGTTGTGTGGTTTAGATTCAAGTCTAATAAAAAGGTGTTTCTGAAATTGACTGATCTTCCTAAGTAGTGTTAATTTGACTAAGGGGATCAAGTTCAATGTTGTTTGAAAATTTAATTTTAAACAGGTGCATTGACAATTTAATTTTAAACAGGTGCATTGCAGCCATTGGAGTGGATCCATGTTCCTGAAAGTGGTGTCCAGGGTCAGGGTGTAACATGATCACCCAGACAGCATGGGTCTTTACACCACAAAAGGGATTCATCTCCGATTCTGTGTACTTTAATTTGACCCAGGCCTCTACTAAATGCCATCAAACCTATGCTTTGTAGTGGATCTGCTAGCTGCCTTCATGTAAGTTCATACTCTCTTGGGCTCTGATTAGAAAATTAGGGCCTTGGAACCTTAGCAGGAAAGGAAAGTCTAATGGACTAAGACATCCTATTTGCCTCTAATTGATTCCTCTCTTTGCTTAAAGATGTTACTTTAGTAATAGTAGGGAATTCTATCTGTAGCTTACAAGATGAGCTCAGGACAAACAGCTTCTTTCACTCTTCACAAAGGCCCGTTCTTTGGTTTGTGGCTGCAGCTGCTATTTTCAGAGCCTGGCTGCATCAATGCATAACAGATTTCTGTATGTTCCTTAATTTTGTGTGCAGGTTATGATTTGAGAGGTGGAAGGAGTTCCGGTGGTGAATTTTGCAAGTTCTTCCCTGCTGATACCCTTGACCAGTGTCTCCACTATCCCTCAGTCATACCATCACATCATGTGGCTTTATCTTCCTCATGGCATGTAGCACTGTTCTTAGTATCGGCCTCCTGCCTCTAGACTATAAGATCCTTGAGGTCAGGAACTTTGTTTATTTTGGGCACAATTGTATCTTCAGTACTTACAGTGGTGTCTGGCACACAGTAGGTGCTTAGTAAATATTTACGGGTGGGTAAGTGCATAGAATGTCATCCAGAAGCTTGGTCTATAGACA